AGGTCCACTAGGGACCTCTCAAGAAAAGAAGTATGAGGGTAAGAAAGTAAGAAGCAATAAAGGCAAATGGATTTGCACAGGTATCTGGCCATTAAAATTCAGATCTTCTTGAAAATCAGGGCTGAGAGTGTATGATGCTGTGATGGTTTCACAGATGCTAACAGCATGCAGGGCTGCACATGGTGGGATGAGATGCTCAGCCAGCTCCTGTTTTGGGGGAGCTGGCCCCAGGGCCAACAGCAAAGCTGTGAAGTGGCCAAACCCACAGATACTGACCCACAAGTGAACAGGGGAAACATCTCATTCTGCCTCAGAGCTCTCTTATCTATTGCTGCCAGAATGAGTGGCTTTTAAAACCTCTTCCAGCTGAAGTGATACGAAAACATGAATTTACTTACATGGGGATGGCTTTAAGAGGTGTTTAATTTATGTGGAAAAAAAACCCTAAAATTGGCTGCAGTGTGTTTTAGAGGATGTCTGCCAGTTAAAGTGTTAACTAGACCTAAATAACGTGGCTATAATGGACTTACTCCTGCTACCAGATCCCACGCTGATGCCAATATTCAAACCAGATGTCCCTGACTGACAGAAGCAAGCTTGGCAATGAAGAATGTATAATAAACCAGATTTACAGGCTGATTTAAGTATCTGTGAGGAGAGTGATAAACAAAGCTGGGAAATAGTAGTGTTCTAAAGAACCAAGTATGAGAGACCACACAGAGCTCACGTCTCAACGGCACGAGGTGAGATGTGCAGTGCCTGGCCATACTGAGCGTGGTGACACATGGTGACACCCTGCAGAATATCTCACTTATTGCTCTTCCTGCTCATCAGTACGTGCTGTGCTGAGCAATCTGTAATTACTAGAAGAATATCGGTAATTACTTCTTAGAGTTGTTGTGGAGCTTAAGTGGTATGAGTTAAGTAATATGAGCAAGAATCAAATAAGCTGAATATTTACTTTTTTTCCCCCTTATTATAAGGAAACCTGGTTGTTCACACAGTCTAGATTCACTCAGGAA